TCTTTCAAAACAAAATGTCAGAGGAAGTATTTATTGCTTACAAGAGCCCTTCATCCATGGGTTTGTTTGGGTCAAAAATGCTTAAAGCTGAACACCAGGGGCCAGTTGCTGTTCCAGATCTTCTGCATGGTTGGGTTGGTTTGATGGAGTCATTGAGGAGAGGGTCTGTCTCTTGCATTTCAGTCCCACTCTGGATCCCACTGTGTTTACTGTGGTCCACACTCCAGAAGATGTTCCTCTTGGCTATGGAAGGCTGTGACTAAAACCACAGAACTTCCAGCAGCATCCTGATGGTTTTATCCACAGAGAATATCTCAAGTTGAAACAGGCCCACAAGGATCGTCGAGTCCAGTTCAGTGGGATCCCTTGGCTTTCTGCTCCCTGGGATATCCAGTCACGAGATACTGCTGTAATTTTTGCTCTTTGCCTTTCAAAGTCCTTCAGCGCTTGCTTTCACCCATTCTCTGTTCTCTGGGCTTTGTTTATTCCCCTTAGTCTGAAAAATGTGTAAATATTTGAGGTTTAGTTCAAATTGAGCTATTGCTGCTGTTGCTCGTGTGTTAGGTTAGTCAGCAGTAAAAACACTGAATCCAAAAGGATCATGGGGGAAACTTCCAACAATATCATGTGAAAATGTCTGTAAAAAGCTAGCTGAGGATCTTGGAATCATGGAATCACTTAGGCTGGAAAAGACCTCTAAGATCATCGAGTCCAACCATTCCCCAACACTGCCAAAGCCACCACTGACCCATGTCCCCAAGTGCCACATCCACAGGGCTTTTAAATCCCTGCAGGGATGGAGACTTCACCATTTCCCTGAGCATCCTGTGCCAGTGCCTGACCAAGCTTTCCACCAACCTGAGACTCCCCTGACACAGGTTTAGGCCATTCCTTCTTGTCCTGTCCCTCATTCCCTGGGAGCAGAGCCTGACTCTCCCCCATGGTACCTCCTCCTGTCAGGGAGCTGTGCAGGGCCAGAAGGTCCCCCCAGAACCTCCTTTTCCCCAGGCTGAGCCCCACCCCAGCTCCTTCAGCTGCTCCAGACCCTTTCCCAGCTCTGTTCTCATCTCTGGCTCCAGCCCTACAGTGTTTCTTGTCGTTTTCCATGTATTTAGCCTTGGTGGGGATTTTAACCCGCCTGCTTTCCCTGGATTTTCTGGGTACCAACAAATATTTTGGATAATTCCAGTTTGAAATTTCAGCCCTCAGCTGAGTGCAGAAGGCCAGGAGTGAGGGATCCTGACTGGACCAGGGGGTGCTGTGGGATGGCAGCAGACAGATTTGCTTAAATATATTTAGTGACTTTGTAATCTCAGTTCTTAAAGAATCTCCTGTGTGTGTACAGATGTGTTTTACAGAGACTTTTAATTTGAGCAAACTTGGGTTCCTGAGATTACATCTTTTCCAGCCTCTAAAACATAGGCTGCTGGTGCTGGAACTGTAAGTCCTTGTTCCAAAGCACTTCAAAAGCAGATTTTAATTCCTAAGCCTGTCTTCCCCTTGTTCCTTTTGACAGAAGATATTTCCAGAAGTTTATCTGTTTTTAAGGTGGCCTGAATCTGATCATGACAACTTTCAGAACAATTAATTTGGCAATGAAATCTTACCAAAAAATCAAACATTATATCAGGATCTTAACAAAAGTTGGTCAACCCAAAAAGTGGAGTTTCTGGCATATAATAAATAATATATAGGTCCTTTCTAACTTGATAAGCAGAAAACTATTGATTAAAACCTTGTCTGTAGCTTATTTCCTGACTCGCCGAGTCAAAGCACGTTTGATCTGTCTCAGTGTGGAATCAGCAGTATTTTTGTGTGGGTGCAATATGTCCCGCTCCCTTTGATCCCCAGAGATTTGTTTTGGCATTGCAGCAGCTATTTTTATTTTGCTTTGTGAGGGAAATCAAAATGGTTTGATGAGTATCCCTGTGTTCCAGATCTGCCCAAATGTCACGTAAGGAGACTTGTGGAAGAGACCAGAAGCTGTAGGTGTTGACCTGAAGACAAGCTGTATGTGATGTATGGGATATAGTTCAGAGACTAGAATTAATTTATGTAGGATAGTACAGAAATAAATTATTTCTCATTAAATAAAGCATAAAACCTTATTTTAAATGCTCTGCTGCAGCTCCTGAATTTGAAAAGAAATAATATTCCCTGATGGTCTTTAGATTGGGTAGTTTTGGAATCTGTTTAGGATAGTGAGGGGCTTTATTTAAAATGTGATGTCAGTGAAGAGCTAGTCTAAAAAGTAAGTATTTTATTGAAATTAAATTTAAAAATTCAAAGAAAGCCCCCCCTCTAAACCCTGAGTCATTTAAAATAGATTCATTTCAGTGCAGGTATTTTTTAAATGGATGAAAGCAAAGTTCTCCATCCACCTTGTATTCTCGACATGTTGCTTTGCCAGGAGTTTCCTTCCTGTTCTTAGGTTTCAACTATCACTTCTAAAAGTAGCTGTTGAACACTTTGGGGTCTGGGCCACTGATTGTGGGATCCAAGCATAGCAAGGAAATCACCTCTTCAGGGGCTTCCCAGCTTTCCATGTAGTTGAGACCACCTTGGGGACAAGAGCAGTGGCTCGTCCCCCACCTGCACTTTCTGGAGGAAACTGGGCAGTGCTGGTGTCAGGGAAACTTCCCCGCCTGAGCATTCAAGAGACTCGTGGCAGTCACACTCCCAGCATTCCTCAGCCCTGCAGTGCTGCAGGCTTAATGAGAAACTCGTTTATTTTGGAAAAAAGAAACAAACAGGGACATTCAGGGGTGAAGTCCTGCACATCCCTGTAGCCTCTAATGAAAGGTAATGAAAAGCATTGCGACATAAACCCGTATGTGATGCTGTAGGAGAAACAACAACGTTCTTTTTGGCTTCAAATAGAGATGGAGTTTGTTTTCAGTTGCACGTTGGAACAATTATTTGGGCTGGTTTATGCCAGGACAAAGCGTTAGGGCAGTGAGAGGCATTCCTGGATCTTGGCCTTCGTCTTTCCCCAGAGACTGATTTCTCTGGTGTGACAGTGGCACTGATTGTCTTCCAGCTTAAGCAAAAAAGTGTAGCTGTAAGGTAGGGATAGAAAATTTGCCTTGAATTTTCTATTAATGATGGAAATACTTTCTCACATCAGAGGAAATTTTAAAAAAAATAAAATTAGACAGCAACCTCCCCCACCAAAAACAACCCGTGTTGCTTTTAATAAAAACAGTCAAAAAGCCTTCCCCAAACCCTTTTCATCAGTAAAGGGAAGAAAAAGCAGTTAGTGGGAACTAGAGCTCTTTGTGTTGGAAATGCCGGCTGCTTTCCAGCCCTTGTTGGAGAACTCAGGCATTTCAAGAGCTCACTCTTTAAAAGTGCTGTTTTGGTCTGAGCTGCACCAAAACCCTGTCAGTCCTGTTGCTCACCTGTTTGCATCACACGCTTGGTTTTGGTTGTTTTTTGGGTGAGGAATCCCTCGCTAATTGTGGCCATATTTTGTAGTTACCTTGTGATGTCGCTTTTTATTGCCACTGTGTTATGGTCAGCAGTGTACAGAAGCTGTGAGCGTACTCAGTCATGGAATCATGGAATTGTTCAGGTGGGAAAAGCCCTCTGAGCCCATCCAGTCCAACCATCCCCCAGCAGTGCCCAGGCCACCACTAACCCATGTCCCCAAGTTCCACATCCACACATCTGTTAAATTCCTCCAAGGGATGGGGACTCCACCCCTGCCATGGGCAGCTGTTCCAATGCCTGACAACCCTTTCCATGAATAAACTTTTCCTGACATCCAACCTAAACCTCCCCTGGCATGGACAGTGTTAATCCCTTCTCCTGTTCCAGCTGGACAGGGAGAGGAAGTAAGACCATGTGCTTAATTGCATTTTAAGAGCAAAACATTGGCAGAATGGCTTGTGGTCACGCTGAATGCTGCTATCTCAAAAAATCAAGGAAAAAAGAGGTGGGAATAAGCTGATGGAAGACAAACTATGCTTTATTCCTTCAGCTGGGGTCAGTGACATGAGGCCACTCAGATGATGTTCCTCGAAGGGAGCATTGGTGAGAAGGATTTCAAGGCAATGTGTGACGAGCCACTGATTTCAGGGTTTAATTGAGATAATTATGTGGGAATTTTCTGGTTCCTTTTTTATTCTGCTGCTGTGGCTAAAATGAACTAAAATGTAGCAACCATGGCTGGTGCCATAAGTTTTTAGGTGATTAATATGTACCAAAGCTCTACTCAAGGTGATAACTGAAGCCAAGGAGAGAACCTCAAGCAGCAAGAACAAAGATAATCTTTAAATAGGAATTCCTGCTTTCTGGGTCTCTAGGTAGGTGCCTGTCCAAAAGCCCAGGGATCTTCCTTTGATCTCAGCTTTCATCCCATCAAGCAGAAACTCTTTGATCCTGGCTGTGCTGAGGATGACCCTTCCTTGGTGCTGTTTTTCCTCTCTCTGGGAGAGCTGCTGGAGGAGCGCTGAACCTGCCTGCTGTGATTTGCAGCTCCCACTGGTGGTACCTGGAAAACTTCAAGTTTTCAGGAACCCTCAGATTTACTAGAGGGGTTTTTAGCCTTCCCATTTGTAGCCTTTCTGCTGCCTGTCCTGGCCTGTGCTTTCACATTGCTTGCTGTTGCTCCTGTGCAGTATCCACCCTTCTCTTTCCTTCTCCCCCAGGAAACCTTTTAAGGATCTTGGTGAATTTATTATATTTCTGTTTAATGTATGTATTTATTTTCTTTCTTTTCACCATTGGTGATGGGATTTGTGGTGTATATCATGTGTGATCCACTCAAATGCATGAGAGAAACCAAGCCAAAGTCAGGGGTACATCCCACAGCCCTGGGATTACACCACATTCCCAGTGCTGTCAGGACCATTGGCATAACGTGGCATAAATTAAAATAGCAGACAAAAGCTTTGGCAAGGGAGAAATTTTATGTTGGATGTGGGAGCTCGAGATGCAAAAGCCATTTTAGTGCAGAGCAGGAATAATTTCCAGTCACATTTTTTTCTCTATTTCAGGCTGTGACCGTGCGGAATTCCATGGCCAAGTCATTGTACAGCGCCCTGTTTGACTGGATCGTGTTCAGGATCAACCACGCTCTCCTCAACTCCAAGGACATGGAGGAAAGCACCAAGGTAACATCTCAGCAGCTCTTTTGGCTCCTCTCTTGGGTTTTTTAAATAGATAACTGAGTGGTAAAACATTACCCAGGCATGCTGCTTAACATGAAGTTAATTTTTCCTCGGATCATAACTGAGTGCATCATTATTCAAAGTGGTGCTTGCTGAGCTGAGAAGGATGAAGCACCTTAAGTATTATAAGCTCAAAGCAAGCAGGGAAGAGATTTTGCTGTAGCCACAAAAGCCAGTTCCCCCACCCACTCCAGGAGCAATGGCAAATAATTTTCCTCTTTATGTGTAAAACTTGAGGACTATGTATAATTGAGGGGGGGGAAAAGGGAATTCTTGTTACTGCATTTTGATGAAGTTGCTCCCTGATGAAGTAATGAACAAGCTGGGTGCCTGTAAGTATTGAGGCAGTACAGCAGAAAAATTAATTTAAAGAAAAAAGGTCATGATGGGAAGAGTGGAACTGGTGCAATCCAAACTGAATTGATGGAAGGAATGATGTGAAGTTTCCTGCAATAGCAGGGTTTGGATGCTGTGACCTAGCACATCCTCCTTAACCCTCTTGTGTCCACACTCCTCGTGGCTGGGGGATGCTGACCCCAAAATCTGTGTCCATGCACACAGGCACTTCCAGCTCTCCAGTTACCCTTGGCTTGGGAATCTGAGACATGGTCCAGCAGCATGTGGGGTTTTTTTGGGGGGTTGTGCATCCAAACTAAAGTCAAAGCTGCCAAAAGGAGGATTTTTGCTAAGCACTGACATTTGGATTGTGCTGTAGGACTGAAGTTGAAGTCTTCATTGCTCTCTCAGTGTGGTCACTCCTTTATTTAATTCCAAAAAAGGCTTGTGGAGCATAATTGTGGACTGGAAATGAAAACATGCTTATGAAATCTGGTTATATGCTTTTCTGACAAAGAAGGGTTGTTACAGTGATAACATCCAGCAAGGCTTCTGACTGCACATGCTGCCTCTCCCTCTGTTTAATATTTTACAGAAATGTTGTATTCTTTCCTGATTTTTTCTGAAGTCATCAAAAGTTTTGTCTGGGCTGTCAGGAAAAAACAAACCACACTGTTTACATATTTGGTGAAGCAGAAAAGTGGATTTGTTTTGACAAGGAAATGCATCTCAAATGCTAATTATTTTTTATAAATGACCCAATGATTTTTTAAAATTATTGTCTGTTCTGTAATATTTAAATACAAATCAGTCTAGGACACTCTTGTGTGCTTAGTCAGCATGGCTGTTAAAGTGAGGCACCACGGTAGCTGTTTATGGGCTATTAAACTTTTGTTCCCAACCTCAAATCTCAGCAGGTAAGAGCCAGAACAGCCCAAATTCCTGCTTTTTTCCAGCATTGCTGCTGCACATTAACCCTCTGCTTCCTCCAGCCATGACTCCCATGGAGTGTAAACACCTTCCTCCTTGCCCACCTCCATGTGTCATTCCATGAATTCACAATTCACACGTTTCTGACCCTTTTTTTTTGCCCCAAATCGTAACGATAATATCCAGGTCAGGCAGCAGGAGCTGGGAGTGGTGTTGCCCCTGTGGCAGAGCAGATCCACCCACGGTGGCAAATGCCCAGGACCCAGAGCTGCAGGAATGTGCTCGTGCCCAGATCCAGGGAGACAATCCTGGGCTGTACTTGGGCCCCAGTTTCTGAAGCAGAAAGGCAGCACACAAAATACCAAGAAATATCTGCTGCTTTAGCAGTTTGTCTTCAGAGTCCTCTATGAATTGGATTGATTCTCACAGATCCCCCAGAAATCATGAAAATGCACAAATCCTCCCCATTTTAGGGGTGGAGACGGTGAAGAAGAGATTTATGTGCATTTCAGAGCAGCTTCGTTAACCATCGACCGGCCAATTTTCCCTTGAGCAGTCCTACCACGTCACCTCCTCAGCCCTATTTTTAGCCCCCAGTTTGGGTTGTTTCAGCACAGAGGGAGGAGAAATGTCTCCCTGGACTGGGCAGGGCTGGGAATATCTGCTCCTTTGCCCTCGAGGAATAACATTGCTGCCAACAAGTGTCTGAGGGCATCCTGGGCTCTGCAGCTGCCATTGAGGCACCAACCAGGAATCACCACAGCAGAGAAATGGAGCCAATGACCTGGTTCTTCCTACCACTTCCCAATCCTCCTGAAATCCTTTTCAGCTCATTCTTGGAGAAACCCCAGATGAGGATACAGGTTCTTCTTACCCTCACGTATGTTGTTTTGAGGTTGGGCAACACCAGTGAGTAACTGGGAGATAGACTGGGAGCATCTCCAAACCCAGGGAATGCCTCCTTGCTGTAAGGCAATACCTTGGCACTTGGGTGACACCTCCTTACTGGCATCTACCAGCCAAAAAAATACCTTTAACACACTAAGTCTATGATTTATGGGAGCAAAATACAGCCTTGCACCTCAGAAATTCCTGAGTGTGCGGTGGGTGAATAATATGTGACTCACACAGCAGCAAATGTCCCAGATTAATCCCAGCCCATGCTTGACACTAATATTCCTCTGACTTTGAAGATACATTTTGAAACAATCCTGTAGGTTCTGAAGGTTCAGAAAATGTCAGATGATGGATTTGGGGCACAGAGCTTTCTTTAATAATAATCACATTATGCAGAGGTAAAACAAGACTCAAAACCATCTCAATTCAGAGTGTGTTTGGAAGAAATTGAGGAGAAAAATTAATACAGAAGTTTCTTCATGAGTGTAGATTTGATTTTAGTGACACAATGGGAACTGAGATCATTTTCAGATCCCAATATGTGTTTATTTGATATCAGCAGTAAGGAGAAGATCAAAAGATGAAACTGGGCAAAGAAAAATAAACACTCAGCCGTTGTTCTTCCATATTGTCCAGCAAATATTTGGAAGATGTAAATCAGAGCTTTGATATCCAAATTTAGTTAAAATGTACAGTGAAATATTTTGGGAAAACACAGTGGGATTTGGCTTATCTTGCTTGGTAACAGGATTTCTAGCATATTATTTCTGACCCAAGTTGTGAGTAAGTTATTTGATACCTCCTGGGTTATGGTAATGGCAGAGCTGCCATGGGTCAGATTTGCTCTGACTCCCTTTTCCTTCATCTTCTCTCAATTCCTTTTAGTTCCTTTTATGTTCTCATGATTCCCTACAAATTGTCTGAAATATAACCTTTATTAATGAGGTCAGAGACTTTTCCTTCTCTTGAGAATGAGATTACTAAACCTCCCAGAGCCTCTTATTGAATTCCCCTTCCATAAATCAGGTTAGGAATTGCTGGAAGTCCATCTCACTTCTTAAAACAATGATAGAATGGAGACTGTGGTGGATCAAAAGGCATTTCCAAGGGTGTTTTTAATCTTTTCCCATTTGGTTCTTGTGAAGTGTCTTAATTTCTTCTCAAATCACCCTGCTGCCGTTTTCGGATGACGTGCCACATATGCGGGGATGATGGTGAGCTCATGGCTGTGAAGAATATTAAAATTAATGGCCATGAAGAAAAATTCATGGTTGAACACATGAAGAACTCATGGCCATGAAGAAAATTCATTATAATTAATGGCCATGAAGAAAAATTTGTGGTTGAATTCATGGAGGATTCATGGTCATGAAGAAAATCCATTTAAATTCAACCAACCAGTTAATTGTTGGCTTTTTGACCTGAAGCAGAGGAAGAATTGCTGAACATGCAGTGTGTTTAGAGTGCATCAGTTCATTAATTTTAGATCCCATCTTCCAAGTTTGTAGCAAATCACTGCCTTTCACTTTATTTAATAGGTCATGGTATATATTGGGGTGATGTAGGCTGGAGTGGTCCTCTTGGATGAAGTGGTGATGGATTTTGGGGCTGTTTTGGGGAGAGATTTTTTTACAGTATCAGCTTTGGAATATTATAAATTAAAAGAAATTACTAAAATGAAAAGAGATAAAAAATTTAAAAATAGTAATGAACAGGATTTCTCCCCTGAATTAGAAACAAACGTATTTGTTTGATTGCCAAAATGTACCTCCATGGTGGAATTACATCACCAGCGTGCATTTGGGGCAGCATAAATCAGCTCCAGTGATCCCTATTTATTGGCACTTTGGGAATTGGAGAGCACACAGCTTCAAGGCCATCATTTGCCAAAAGCCCTTAAAACTCATGCTCTGTGTTTAAATGTCATGGCTGAGACATTTTAAGAAAAGCATGAGGTCATTTTTCATCATTTCAAGCAGAAAGTGCTCACTGACCCAGGGTTCACCCAAATTTTAAAAATCCTCACAGACATGCACTTTTAATCACAAGAATTTTGATATGCTAATTAATACAGTCACACTTTTTAATTTTATATGTTAGTTTCGATAAAGAAACAGCATTAACACACAAACTAGACTTAGTCGAGGTCTAAATTATCTTTGTGTGATTTCCTTATGGCACCTATTCAAAGGATGAATTTGAATCTGAAGATTTAAAAGATTTATAAATGTTAAACTCCTGTGATTTTTTTTTTAAATACTGAGCTGCAAATTTCATCCTAAACCCACCCAGATTACACACTTTTTACAGGCAGTTTAGCAAAATTAATTCCTGTATATGTCAATGGAAATGGTATTTTTTCGCCTTGCTACAATAATTGATTCTGTACTAGTACATTTGTGGTCCTTTATCAGGGACAGAGAGCAGAAAAATAGCCATAAATTCCAAATTTCTCAGGTTTTAAAGTTTTCCCAAGTGGCATCCACTGGCCTTGTTCTTTTGGGAGCATCGTAGCAGAGGAAAAACGACTGTTTCACTGCAGAGCTCTGCCTGGATTTCTCTGACATGAAACTGCAAAATACCACACAGTTTAAAATCTGTATTCTGGAGGAGTTCAGGAGTTACAAACACAGGGATGTGAGAAAAATGCTGTTTTACTCTGTGTAAAAACCATGGCAGAATTAACTATCCTCCTCTTGGACGTGTGGTTTGATACCTGCAGTGGTTTTGTGAAATGCAGATTATTTTTATAGTTCTGTGTGTGTTTAATTTTAGGTGTCAGCAAAAAAATTATAAAAACACGGCTTTAAAATATAATATTTCCATAAGATTCTTTTATATCTGACAGGGCTATTTTTTGCTATATATGACTGTTCTGTTTTGCTTTATAAGTGTATTTCCATGCCCACATTGAAATATATTTGGTCACAGTTTCAATGCAATAAATGAACCAGGATTAGAAAAAAGAGAGAAGGTTTTTGTGCTCGGTTATTTTGTATTAAATTAAGTTTGTGAGATCTTAAAGACCTTGTTCAGGTTAAAGACTTCACTCGTGGCAGGGGCTTAACTATTTCCACAGGGCATCAACACGATGCTTTTGAAAGCTGATGTCAGTAAATCCACGAGTAGTCTGGAAGTGGGAGCATTTTATCTTCCAAGTCTTGTTTGGATATGGTGGAATAGAGACTTTCATGTGGGGGAAATTTTTGGAACTGTTGTGGATTGCAGGGATGAGCTTCAACAGCAGGGGGGTGGTCGGGGTCAGGATTTGCAATGGTGATGTGAAGGGAGATGAGAAAAGTCACTTTGTCCTGTTTCCATCATCAATTTTTCCATGGATAATGTAAATAAAATATGATCCATCAATCATACAGAGAGTTTAAGAAGAATTCCTCCTGAGGAATTTTAAAAAAGGATGAGGCAGATTTCTGCTCAGTGAACAAAGGGGTTGGCCACATCCATTGGAACAAGCAGGAGCAGATGCTGGACCTTGGGAATCAGTGGCTGAGAGTGAATCCCTCTGCCAGCCTCAGTCCTTGGTCCAGTGGTTCCCCATTTCCATCTTCTGCTCAAAGAGCTGTTTCTCATGGGTGTTTCGCCAAGTGATGCAAACTTCTGGGAAAGTGGCCAAGGGCCTTCATCCTTGTCATGGCATCAGGGAGGTAGAGGCTGTCTGGCCCTGGAATAGGGAGAAAAGCCTGGACAAAAGATGAAGTAGTCAATGAGCTCTTGGAAAATGGGTTAGAGACTTATCTTTGTGCTTAAATGCTTTTTTTGTTTTGTTTTTGCTTGTCCCAGTGGCCAGAGTCCAGGTCAGACAAAGCTCCAACTCACAGCCGAGGGGCCACTCTGCCCACGGCAGCCATGCCTGTTCCAGCCGTAGGTGGTTCCCTGGTCAGGAGTCGGGCACAGAAGGAATATTTTCCTCCCACATTATGTGATGCATTGCAAGTGGACAAAAAGCAGTGTGGACAGTCTGGTTTATATTTCTGGCAGTGGAATTAAGCCAGTCTTAGCAAGGAAGTCTTAGAAAATCCAGAGTGCAGGTAACACCAGTAGAATGAGAATCAGGGTACTTGGCAGCTTTCAGGTCCTTTGAGGTAGAGGGGAGTGGATATTTCTCCTCCCTACTTGAGGTTTGGCTCACTTGACCAGTGCTAATGCTATTACCTCTCATATTAGTTATTTAATTAATTGTAACAGGTGAACGGAGTATTTGCGTAAGGTGGCTTTGGTTGGATCCCAGAGCATGGTGCTCTAACAAGCTGCTGGTGGAGCTCTCCCCATATGTGTCCTTCAGGCTCTTCTCTCCTTTTCTGATGATAGCAGCCTTTCTGGGTGGGCACAGTAGGAGTTTTATTTATAACTAATTGTGAATTAGGTGTTTAACACAACAGTCATGTACAGGCTTGGAAGCTGCAGCAGAAGCTCTATCTTGAGTTTGTTTTTCAGCCTGGCTCCCTCTGTGGATGAGGATTATTTGCTGACACATCCCCATGTCCTCCCTCCTCCGGGTTTCCCAAATCCATCTGACTGGCAGAAGGCTCAAGTTTTATGAAAGCCAGTACCTACACAAAGGAGAAAGTTCCACTTTTCTACTCCCATCAAGGGTGGGAAGCACAGTCTGAGCCAGGAGGTGATGGATTGCACTCGCCTGTGGGCCAGCATACGCCTGGCCAGAGGTCCACTGCCTCTCCTTACCTGGCTGGTTTGGGGAGGGGAGGGGGACAGGAGGGTGCAAAGCTGGGAATTCACTGCAGCATGGACCTCCTTTGCCAGCACAGGAAACCTTGGTGAACCCACATCTTGATGAGCATCTCAAGAGGTAATTGTAGGTTAGAGACCAAACAGACATTGGCTCTTCAGTTTGGGGAAAAGCTTGGAGTGAGATATGACTGAGGTTCACAAAATCATCAAAGTGATGGGAAAAAACGCTATTTAGAACTGTAACTCACCAAATCCTGCAATTTACATTATGAATTATGGATTTAATAAAAGAAAAAACTTGCCTATTGTGAACTTCTGGAAGTTAGTTAGAGAGAATGTAGGGCTCATAGTGCCAACGGGTTCCAAAAAAAAATTGTGGTAGGTCCCTCTTTACACCTCTCTTGCCCATGAACTGAAGAGAGTAAAGAGACACAGAGGTGTCTCCTCTTTTCCCTCATCCCACACTGCCAGGAGCTGGTGGGAAAAGGTGCCAGAGTGCAGAAGAGCCATGTGGAAACAGCCAGGTGTCACAGGGGAAGATCATGTGGGCAGGGCTGGGCCAGCAGTTGGGGCCAGGTGTTAGTCAGGGCTTTGGGCTCCCTTTTTCAGCAGCATTATTATTTTTGCATTAATTCCCCCCTTTCAGTGAGGCAAGAGCGACTCGGTGCTCCCAAACATCAGTCCATCATCTGATCCCTCTGACAAACAAGGTGGATGCTTTATTTGTGATGCCATTTTAATTTTCACCAGGAGAACTAAAGATTATTTCCATGGGAAGCCCCGATGTGCGGGAATTTCTTCTTGAATTTTGCAGCTGGAGCAGGTTTGCTTGGACAATGCACTCACCTTGGTTGTCTTCACCGTGCAAGCCTTTGTTTCCCAAGCCTATCCTCATTTTGCCCTTCTGAAGATCAATACTCTTAAATCCAATAGAATAACTTGGAACAGAGTTGAGGTTTCTTCAAAGATGGCCATTTGTTTGTAAATAAGAAAAAAATTACAAAGGGTCTTTTCTCTTAGAACAAGCCTTTTTGTCCAGATATCTAAAGTTACGTGTTGTCTCTGTGGTTTGGAGGAGCCTTACAGATGGTACAATATCAACAATTCCAGTAAAATTCCTGCTATTTGGTATATTGATTTCTGCCTGTGTGCTTTTGATTATGTACTATGTTCAGATAATCCTCTTTATGTGATTTTATTCTAATCCTCACTCTTACTTTCCTTGCAGACTTTATCCATTGGGGTGCTTGATATTTTTGGGTTTGAAGACTATGAAAACAATAGCTTTGAACAATTCTGCATTAACTTTGCCAACGAGCGCTTGCAGCACTACTTTAACCAACACATCTTTAAACTGGAACAGGTAAGTCCAGAAATGTTTACTCTCTGATGCCAGTGAGTGTTGACATGACTTTGTGGCCCTGATAAAGTTCTGAAATTGTCCCTTTAATTCTGTTTTGTTAAGGAGTGTACACTGAATTATTCAAATTTAACTTCTAATTGACTTTATGACCAACTTCCACCTGTAAAATAAAATCCAGCCAGACATTTGCTGGTTTAAAATAAACATTTTGGCTTACAAAAACATCATGAAGACCTTAACCACTGCTCTGTTGTTTCCTTGATACGTGCTCAGAGGGCTCATCAAGGAATGAGCAATTCCTTCCTTGCCTTTTCCTGGACATGCTGTCATGCCATTTGGTATCACATAAAAGTTATTTTTTGTTGTCTAGAGAAAAAGCCACCCCAATCTCACAGTGTTTTTTGCCTTCCAGTGTTGATTTGTGGGGAGGGAGGGGAAATGTCACTCTGATGTGTTCCCCAAGGTCAGACTTGAGAGCATTATGACCTTCAATAGCCCTGGCAGATTAGGAAAGGCTGAACTTTAAGCTTTGCTTTAGGTTTATTAAGACAGGGTGTTGCTTTCCAGCCACAAATTAATGCACCTAAGAGAGATAACAAAAACACAGACTGCAATCCAGCAGGTAACACACACAAAATGGTTTAGATGGGTGGAGGCTTCTTCTCCATTCGTTATCCAACCAGCAGGACAAGAAGACTGGAAGTTTCTTTTCAACATCTGTGTGTTGTTTCATGGATGGACAATTATTATTGGGCTGTATAATATAGGAGATACGTTAGAGACCTTCTAAATGCCTTTTTTTTAACATGACAGTCTGCATGTCCTCTCTCCACGTGAAATCCTTCTTGGGGGAGGCCAAGGGGAACCCTCCCTATAGTCATTGCAGAATTAACCCAGCCCTTCCCAGAAATCCTGATAGTTTCATTTTGGGCTTCTCCAGTGTTCTCAGAGACTGGAAAATGCAGAAGAAAAAGCTGCCTTGAATATGAGGATGTTCTAAAAACAAGTAATATATCCCTGAGTGTGTCACTTAGGGATTGTTTGCTTATGAGTTGGATGGTTTAATCTCTTTGATTTTGATCAATAAGGTGGAGCAGAGCTTCTCAAAGCCATTTAATTTGAGGTTTTTAAGTGGCCTTTGTATGCAGGTGCACCCTACTCAATAGGTGCACCAAGAATTGGAAGACCTATCTATTCCTAAGGACAGGTTTATTTTCCCATTGTCCACCATAAAAATGCAAATTTTGAGACTATCACAAAGTCAAACCAGCTGTATTTTTAATAAATGCTGCCACACACTTCCTAGAAGAGACTCAGGGAGGGAGGATCCTTCCTGAAAGCTGGGGACAGACAATTCCTCCATGAGGTGGAGTTTCAGGAGCCTCCTCCAAGATGCCATCATCCATGAGGGAATTCCTGTTATTGGGCTGGGATTTCTGAGCAGGTCAATGCTCCCCCAAACCTGGGAGATATACAGAGGTCCTGAGCATAGCAATCCGTAATTCTTCTTGGAGCAGCTTCAGAGATAATTAGCTTTCTCCTGGGAATCTGTCAAGCATGTGAAGTCACTGGAGTCCGTGTTCGCTGTATGGATATGAGGAGCAGTTGTGGAGCCATCAAACTGCAAAGGGCCCATTCCAGTTCTTAATGCCAGAGCACGTCATCCTCCTGGATCCTGGCTGGAGCACTGCGAGCTCTGCTGCTGGAAAATTCAGACATCTTGGCATAGATTGAGTCTATAAATACGTGTAATCTGTGCAGCTGCACGAGCGCTGATCCTTGAGTGAATTAACTGGATAATTTAACCATTTATTTTCCCTGGAGCTCTGGCTGCATGTGGAGGAGTGGATTTGGTGGAAAGAAAACTCAAGGACACATACTCAGATCCTGGGTCTTCTTCCTTCCTTCCTCACTGGCCCAAAGGTTTTTTAGTGATGATCACGAGTCTACAAATGAAGACCAGGGAGTTAATAATGTGTTTCTAGGGAGTAAAATAGTTCAGTTACTTCAAAATGTGAATTTATCTGAGGTATTTGTGTCTTTATAAAGGTTTGTTTCATGTCTTGGTGATGGGGATCTGAAATGGAGAGATCCTTCTCTGAATCCTCTGCTGTCCAAAGTTTGTAGGAGGCTGAAGAGAGATTGCTGAGATACCCAGACGCTTCTGCCAAAAAAATTAGTGACAAAATTAAATAGTCACTAAGGATTTTTCTTGAAATCCTAATAGAATTTGTCTGCCAGAACTGCATTTAGCCATGATGGAATTGTTGCCATGACATGCTGTTGATGTTATGGAAACCAAAATACCCACCACAGTCCTCTAGGAGAACCATAGGATTATTTTTACCTTTATTCCCCCTTTTTTCCCATGGTGAAATCTAATATAATGTGTCTGGTGAATCTTTTTTTTAAACCTTCTGTCTGAAGATGACACTATTTCCAGTGGTTTGCAAACAGCCACCAAGGCATCCTCGATCTTCAGCCTGGTGTCTCCCAAAAATACAGCAGCTCTTGTGCTGTGGCTGAGGGGCTGCAAAGGTTTTTGCAGGAGCAACCTCCTCTCCTGCAGCTGACCACAAGATAAGGGTAAGGACTTTATGAATCCTGCTCTACTCCCAGATCCAGATCCGTGATCATCCATTTATTAATGTAGAAAGGTGGCTATGGCAGGGTTGTGACCTTCCCCCATCATGGAGCAAAGGTGGTTTTCTCCTCCTCCCCAGGTATCTCACAGGTTCCTGTGGGGAGGTTGGGTGAGAGGGGCTGTAGCTGGTGGCTTCAGCTGCTGCCTCATTGCTCTGGGCAGCACGGGGATGGGGAGTCCTCTGCCATTCCTCCTTCAGGCTGGTGGCTTCAGGTGACACATCCCTGTTGCTCTGGGACACACTGGGCATTGTCAGAGCATCACCTTGGCAGCGATTCTCTGTCCCCAGGCCCAGCTCCATCTCTGTGCCCTCAAGTGGCCTCCTGTGCACAGCAGATAAGCCCAGAGCAGAGCCCTGAAAATCAGAGAACACCCAGGTGCTTCTGGGAGAGGAAAACAGCATTTTTGCATTGCACCTTGCCTTTTGTTCAGTTTTTTTTCTAGGGCATTGCATGGATGAAGATTTAGTTTGGAGGTCACCAGTACCATACCACCCATGATGAGTTTCCTCCAAGTTTCCAGGTCTTTGGCAGTTTAAGGGCCTGGAGTATGAGTTTTTATTTCTTTATATATCCCATTCTCCAAACTTTGTCATCTTCGTCCTCACCAATCTTCCCCCATCCCTGCTAAGGCTCATCTGGTTCTCTCCACCTCACCCACCTTTCCCTGTTCCAGCTGATGCTTTGCAAAGGTTGAGGACTCATCCTGCAGCTTTTCATCCCACAGGTCTTTGCTGTTCAAGTTCTTTCCTACCTCTTTTTCCAGCTTTTGCTTACCCACCAAACCTCAGTTTCAAGGGCATGGTTTTGTTGTTTTAAAAAATCGATAAATAACCAAGGTTGGGGCTGAAAAAACCTACAGAATTTGGAATACAATCAACTGGCAGGAGCTCAGGTATTCAGTGAAGTCTGTTTTCTGGTGGGGTCCCTTGTGAGCTTGATGTCCCAGCCAGCAAATCTCAGCCTGCTCAGCCTGAAAAACAGAATTTCATCAGGATAATGCATCCTATGGAATGTTTGCTCAGCCATCCAAAGCTCCATTAATAGTTACGGAAGTCTGTAGGGTTTACTGGTCCTGTGCAGTAGGTGGAGAAATCCAACAGTCTGGACTAAGTCATGGTGGTGTTTGGTTGAAGGTGTGATTTGATGGTCTTGGAGGTTGGTCACTACCTCCAGCCACCTCTGAGTTTCACCTCATGATTCTGAGGAGCAACAGCCTCGAGGGAACATGACACTCCAAAATGAGTTTAGATATCTTACTTAAATATTACATTTAGAAATTAATGTTGGAGTGAATTAATTTTAAAAAGCATTTGAAAAATCTAAAATATTTAAATTTAAAATAACCTGTGAAAAAGGGTCTCTCTTCTACTGCTTGGAACACTCATCCTTTCCTTCCAGCCAGAGTTTTTTCTGTATCTCATCACTGGTTAGGCGTTAACGCCTCTTTATTGCCTCTGAAGGCCAAAGCCAACCATCAGAAGTCAACCATTGAGGCCTGGGAGGCTCGGTTCAAATTTCTGTTTTCCTTGGAGATGGGAGAGCAGCTGTCCTCTGAGAAATGTTGCTGTCAGCTGCAGGCCACATGACCCGTGGAGAAAGAACAAGCTGCACAAGTTATTGATTTATTATTTGGCGGAATGCCATCGAATGCAACTCACGTTTGGGGGAAGAGGACGATGTTTGGAGCACATAAATTTTATTAATAAAAATCAGGATGCCGAGAGCTGTTTAAATGGTGTCTGCAGGGTAGGAAGAGTTCGAAGCACATTAGTGAAATGAAAGACTGCTCTGATCAGAGCTGTGCCAGGGTGGGTTCAGGTCATCACATCAGGAGGAATTTCTTCATGGAGAGGGTGGTCAGGCACTGGAACTGCCCAGGAGGTGGAACCCCCATCCCTGGAGATGTGCAAAGAATGCCTGGACGTGGCACTCAGTGCTCTGGGCTGGTGATGAGGTGGGGATCAAACACAAGTTGGTCTGGGAGGTCTTTTCCAAGCTCAGTGATTCTGGGATCCATTGTCAGTCCCCCAGAGCTTTGTCTTGTGTCCTCCCAGCATCCTTGAGTCCATGAACGTTGCATGGCTGGGACTGGGGCTGAGGGGCTTCATTTGCCACACACTTGTTTCTGGGTTTCTCCAGATGATGAGCAGTAACTATATAAATATATATATAATGTACAACGTGTGAGAGGATATATCCTAATCTGTTACATTGTTTGTATATCCTCTGATCCCATGGGTTAGATTGAGTTGGAAGGGACCTGAAAAATCATCCAGTTTCAACTCTCCTCACATGTAATTTCCTAACCTTTAATTTAATCCCGGTGCAGGGAAGTGCTGCATCTGGCAAACCCA